AACTAGATAGGAATCGGAATGCAGTCCAGTCATAAAGACATCCCGAAGCCCTAATCCCTAAACTCCATATACAGGCTGGTAGGTTGTTACCGGCAGTTAGAAAGGTGAGTTCGTTGAGAGATGGGTAAGTAGACAGGCTCTCACGCTGCCTTACAGTCCCACAGCAATTGCTGAATGAGGTGGGAGTCTTCTTGTCGGGATCCGAAGCAGCACATTAAGTACTCGTGGGCGCTAGACCCTAAACCCTAAAACCCCGTAAAATTTTAGCAAACCCCGGGCATCAGCAGCTCCGAAGCTGACACACATACGATGCCATCATGGCGGCGGAATATCCGCGCACATCAACTCTTGTCTGCGCCTCGTGTCCCTTTTCCTGCAAGCCCCCCAGGGCCCTGAAATTTATTCACCGAAAGCCAACCCTGTAAACTTCCCAGTCCAGCCCGTACTCGATTCGATGAGATCTTGCAGATTTTAAGTCGGGAATCCCACGCCCGGTTGCGCGAGCACGGTTTTTCTCTTACCTGTGGTTAGTAGGGAATGGAGGAATGGGGGACAATTATAGCTACTATCACTACCATTCTTCCATTCCCTACTAACCAAAGGTAAGTTCTGTGCCTATCCATTCGTTCGCCTGTCTCTGTAAACATCTGCACAGCTTTCTCTTTGCGACCGGCAATTGGCACGGATGTGTACACCAGGCACATGTGCATGCATGTGCACAGCGTGTGTATGTATCACGGGGGTCGGCGGAACCGGTGCCACCCTGAAAACGGCTGAAGTTTTGTCACGCTCTGGACCACGACGGCGGGGCCGGATTTGTGGAAGGGTTCAGCACGCGCGCCGGTTTAAAAAGCTTGCGGCAATGCGGCGGTTCGGTGCGGGTGCGAACGTTCATGGTGAAGCGGACGTGTGTGGCTGCTTCATGCTCGCATGCTGCCAGTCATTGCACTGCTTGCGCCAAGTGTGAGATAAATCGCAAACAGTGGGCCGGTGTGGTGCCAAGCCAACCGGACCTAACGAATGTGGAAACTAAGTGTCTGCTTCGTTGTCGAGTAGTGTATCTGTTTGGGAAGGCAAAAGAGTATTCGGCCTCGCGACAGAGGCAACCTATGCCTAAAGGCCTAATATGGGAGTTAGCTCATTTTGGGGGTCCTTACAATAGGGATCCTATACTTTAGGGTACTATATGATATAGGGTCCCCCTATTTTCGGAAACTCCCATATAGTGCACCGGAAGACGGTTGATTCGCTTGTGAGTTTCTACGGCATGCGGTGCTGTCAGTTTTCGTGCGTTCTAAGACTAAACCCAAGCCCTTAGCGGAAAGTCCATCTCAACCCGCAGCGCAAAGGGCACGAAGTTAGCACCAGCCTATATCGCACGCTCGGAGAGCGTGCGCTGCGGGCACTGGCAAGGTGGGCCCGAATTGCATGGCCACGTGGGGCAGTAAAAAGCATCGAGATGATAGCTTGTCAGTTGCCTTTAGTGCGGATCAATCCTTTGAAATCATCGCTGTCGCAGTGTTCTCATAAGTAGCTCTAATCTAAATAGTTACGAAGCCCAAGTTTTGAATATGATGAGAAATACTGTTGAAATATGCATAAGACGAAATTAAACTACATGATTAAACATGATGATCGTACTGAATTAGTCAACGAAACAAGAGATCCACAACTCTTGATGCAATGTGTGGCACGTGTTGAGCCCGCCCTGCTGGGCCTTTGCTGGATGCCGACGCTGAATTCAACTTCGAGTTTTTGCAAGGCCGACACTCCTCCATGCGGCAAGATCTGAACATCTGCCGTGTTGTCTAGTCTCCGGTCTTCGTTCCAAACCAGCCAAGAACATGGGACGTTGACTCGGAGAGAGCTGTTTTAATTATTCACATAGGCTTGACTTGAGCCCTCAGCAGCCGTCTTCAGCTGCGGATGCCCTGAGGCAACATATGCAACATTCCTAGTCACAGCGGAAGAACGACATAAGTTTGGGCACACTCAGTTAGGTCGAGCCGGGAAGGTTCAAGTTCTCAGAAAGACGAGACCGCAATAGTAGCTCGCTCGTACATGCTCAACTCGAGCTCCGCCTGCCTATGCTGATGGCCGCAAGAAGGTGTCGTGAAATCATACAGATTCCCCTGCCTTCGTAATTACTCTAAAGCCTAAACCGCAAGCCTTGTACCCTAAACCCAAGCCCTAAACCCCAAACCCCCTAAACCCCACCACTTCAACTTTTCACACACGGAATGTCGGTCGTCACCCTAGGCTGCCGTGCCTGGAGGGCATGGGTGCTTTTCACCGCGAAAGGCAGCTGGAGCCTTTTTGGAAAAATATGGGGGCCGGAAAAGTAGAGTAAATAGGGTTTGGTGGGGAAGTTTACTGTTACACAACACTTTGTATCGGCAGTTTTTGGGAGATCATTTCTAGTTCGGGCGGCCCCTATGTTAGCCGACTTTGGTGGGCACGATGTTCATTTTGCACCATCCGGGATTGCTGGACGGCTGCGGTACATGCTGATTTTTCAAATCCGACCAATAGCTCGGAAGAGAAGCGGAGAGGCACGTTTGAGATTGCCAGGAGTGCATGTGTGGAGCTTCTTTCCATGAATCGTCTGCCGCTGACAAGATTGCTTACCACCTACGGCTGACAGTGCTTCTGAATTCGCAACAGAGAATACAAAATAGAGTCAATAATACAGATAATCCGAAACCCTAGAACCCTGAATCCCAAAAACTTAGCAGTGGCATTCAGCGCCTCTTTTACCTTTGGCACCCCAGTAGTGGCAACGTTCTACGCATGTAGACGAAGCAGCTGCAGGAACCAGAGAAATAAATAGGGCAGTACCGGTATCTTTTTTCTATATGGATGTCTGTCTACATGTCCATCTGTCTCTCCGGCACGACTTGCCGGCTAGCCCGCCTATCCGCTAATCCACTTACCCACCCTCCCACGCACCTTCCTACCTGCGTGCCCACTGTGTCTGCATGCATGCATGTATGCTGATATGCCTGCATGCCTGCCTGCCTGCCTGCCTGCCTTTCTGGCTGTCCGTCTGTCTATAGCGACACTTCGTCCTCTGTGCATGCATTGGATCAGCCAGCTCTGGAGTTCTCTTCCCTCTGGTAGCCAGCTTTGGAGATGTGTGCGGACATGTATGTGGGAGAATGCAGTAGGCATGTGACTTCGGGGTCCCCGGTGTAGGATCCTGCAGCAAGATGTCGATGGATGCGAAGTATGCTGGGTCAGAGGCAGCGATCTTATGGAAGATAGAGCGATGAGCCAAAGGGAGCCCTTGTGCAGCTCCACATGCGGACGCATGTCTGGACTGCGCATAAGCCCCGATCTACATACCTTCTTTTCGAATCGAAGAGATGTTTGGGGACCGGTGGGTCTGACTGATTGCTCTTAACAGAAACCCTAAACCCTAAAACATGCAGAGAGGATGTGGCCTTGGTGGGCCAGCCACTGTCGTGATCCTTGATCGCTTCGCAGACCCCACATATTTATGGTTTGGCTTTGCGCTGGAGCAAAAAGCGACGGACATAAACCCTAAACCCTGAACAGTTTCGACGTGAAGCTTTGTCAACCTCAACCCTGAAGGCCAGTCGAAACCCTGAAGCCCGAACAAGCTCGAGCGCGAAATATTGTAGGGCCTTAGTAGTTCGAATAGGGTTGTGGGGTCCAGTATGCTACAATTATAACACGGAGCCCCAACATAGTATTGGTAATTAATGAAGCCCCTGCACTATAGAACCCTACTGTAGGTCCCTTTGGAGGAACCCTATAGGCCCTATAGGTAATTATTGAGGCCCCTATAGCAGGCCCTGCCTGCCCTTTTAAAGGTGGTGAAGGCCAGAGTTTCAAAGCCCGGCGCAAAGATCCCTACTATAGGGCCTAAGTAATTTCCTGTAGGGTTCCTTTACTTGGAGGGGCAAGGGACTTAGTAAGTAGGTTATAAGTAGAGTTATAAGTACCCTAAATGGAGTTACCCCAATTATAACCTACTTACTAAGTCCCCTGACCCTCCAAGTAAAGGGCTCTATACGCGGTCTATCTGGGATCTATAGTAGGTTCTATAACGTAGGGGCCTCACTAGTTACTTATACCATTTCGGGGGTTCCTTATAATTTGATGGTTGTAGTATAACGGGCCCCAAAACCTTATTGTAATTGTTAAGGCCCCTACATTAGCCATCAAAGCCCTAAGCCCCCAAAGCCCCAAGCCTTAAATCCTGCTCCCTACATTGCCACAAATTAGGGTAATTTTTCGGGTCCCTACTAAAACAGGACCCTAATTAAGAGAACTACCCACATGCTTCTGGTGTTTTAATTGGGGTTTAGGGTGCAGGATTCATCTTCAGGTGTTTCAATCGGGGTTCGGGGATCTAAGGGGGCTAGAGGACCCAATGTAGGGGCTTGAAGCATGCGCAATACTTTTCCCTCACAAAGGCATACTATCGGAGCCCACCAAATCCATGGTAATCCCGGGTCTAATTATGCATGCTCTCATATTCGTTATGTATAGTACAAGCCCTTCGAGCCAAGTTCAAAACCCTAAACCCTGAGCCCTAAACCGTAAATGCAGGGTATTGGGTTCGGGAATCGAAGGAGGAAGGGTGTGGGTTTGAAGCGCCAGCAAACTCTGAAGGGTTTAGGGTTTAGGGTTTAGGGTTTAGGGTTTAGGGTTGAAGTTGCCAGAATGCAGCTAGCACCTAGTAGAACCCCCCATCTCCAAAACCCCTAAACCCTAAACACCCTACAGCCCCAGAGCCCCTAAACACAAAAACCCTACATCCCCAATATCCTAAGGTCATCGCCCCTACTGTTGATGATATAAATCCTGCAGTGCCTTAAGGACCCTGAACTATGGGAATTATGGTATATCCCTTATTATGGGCAATGCAGGATTTATATCACCAACCCTAAACCCTAAACCCCCCTACAGATCCCTTAAAGGAGTCCCTTAGAGGTACCCTTTTTGATCCCTCTAAAGGAACCGTATGTCAGGCCATCCGGGAGGGCCCTTTGCAGCCTGCGGCCCGTTGGCCAAGCCGCAGGGCTTCCTTGCCCGCCCGGCCGGTCGGGGCCCCAAGTTTGGGGTCCAGGGGGTAGGGGTTTAGGGTGTAGAGGTTTAGGGTTTAGAGTTTAGGGGTTTAGGGGTTTAGGGTTTAGGCGTTTAGGATTTAGGGTTTAAGGTTTCGCTGCGAGTGCGCTTTCGACCCCTCCATGAAGTGGTTGGGGTCGGCGCATGAGCTGCAATGCCCGCCCTCCCACCCAAATTACAACCTGGAGCGGGTTTAGGTTTGTCTACCCCCCCACCCACTATCAAGGGGGGCGTAGATGGTTTGGAAGAAACAACAGCTTCTTGAAGCCCTCAGAGAGGCGAAGCTGACGCAGGTTGTTGGGTGTGTGTGTGTGTGTGTGTGTGCGTGTGCGTGTGTGTGCGTGTGTGGGAAAGCATGTCAAAGTATGTGTATTGTTTTTGTGCACCCTCGATGGACCTCAGCCAATCCTGTTTCCTTAAGGTTTTGTTTCGGCAAAAGCCGGGCTCGAGTGGATTCCACTCCGCAGTTTACCGAAATTCTTTCACACCATAGAAAGCGGTCGTGAGTCGATGCAGATTCCGGTTGCTTGTTTCTGCAAAAACGGCGGGGCTCACGTCGAGACCAATGCACGGTCCGTCCAACCTGCTTTTCCAAGCTTCAATGGTCACAGCCACGAGCCGCGCCCAACCTTGTAGCAGATGTATTGTTTCCAGGTTCAAGCTCTTTAACAAGAACTAAGCACCGGAATGTGGGGGTCCCGAGATTGGCCATCAGCCCAATCTAGCATGCATTTTTTACATGTAGATTTCGATCACGAAACCGTGCCCGTGATTTGCTGAACTCTGCTGTTCCGGCCCTTCAATTTTCAGTTCCGATCTTGTCCGAGCTTCAATTTTCAGCTCCGGGTCAATAATTTTAGGCTCGGGTTCTTAGTTTTAAATTCGGGTCCTTGGTTTCAAGCTTCGGGTCTTTTATTGTTAGGTTCGGACCCTTAATTGTTTTAAGGTCAGTGTCCTTGACTTAGGCTCGGGTCCGTAGTTTTAGAATCGGGTCCTCAATTCAGGTCTCAAACCTTAATTTTAATTCACCGGTTCTTAATGTTAGGTCCCAAACCTTAATTCTAGAGCCCCGGTCCTTAATTTCAAGTCCCAAACCTTAATTTTAGAGCCCCCGTCCGTAATTTTGGTTCCAAACCGTTATTTTGAAGTTTAAATTCCAAACCTCAATTTTGGTGCCTCGGTCCTTAGTCTTAAGTTCCAAACCGTAATTGTAAAGCACGGGTTCTTATTGTGTCCCAAACCTCAATTTGAAAGCCTCCGTCCTTAATTCTAGGTCCCAAACCTGAATTTTAGAGTCTCGGTCCTTAACTTTAGGTCACCAAACCTTCATTTTAGAGCTTCGGTGCTTAATTCTGGGTCCCAAACGTGGATTTTGAGATCCGGTCCTTAGTTTTAGGTCCCATACCATAATTTTTGTGCTTCGGTCGTTAATTTTCGGTCCTAAACTTTGATTCTAAAATTCCGCGTCCACCCAGTTAAAGCTTCTTCCTTCAATGCTTAAGTTTCAGGGTTCAAGGTTTTGGGGTTTTAGGTTGCTTATGATGTTCAGGTTTTAGGATTTTAGGGGCTTAGGCTTTTATGGTTATATAGGGCTGTAGGTCTTGAGGCATTTTGTCTGTTTCGCGGCTTCAGGGTTGTATGGTTGTAACCGTGTATATGGCTTCAAGTCTGGGGGATCAGGGTGTAGCATTAGAGTCTTAAATGTTGAAGACCAGCGTGTTTAATTTGGGGGCCTTAATAAATAGAATCGGCCCATTATGCTATAATCAGAGTAAGGAGCTCCCAAAATAGTATTGGTATTTATTTAGGTCCCTATGTTATAGAACCCTACAATAGATCCCTATAGAGCCCTTCATCTTCTTTCTTTCGGCCCCTATAGTAGATTGGGGTTAACCCTATCAAGGAACCCTATAGGTAATTATTCAGGCCCCTAAAGTAGATTGTGGGGTTCCAGCCCGACAACCCAGACCCCCGGGAGGATCTAGAAAGTAGATCACTACTAAAGGTACTTTATAGGAACCCCCATGAAGGGATCTACTTTCTGGATGCAGCCCTAAACCCTAAACCCTAAACTCTAAACCCTAAACCCTAAACCCCTAAACCCCTAAACCCTAAACCCTAAACCCTAAACCCCTAAACCCCTAAACCCCTAAACCCTAAACCCCTAAACCCCTAAACCCCAAACCCTAAACCCTAAACCCTAAACCCCTAAACCCCTAAACCCCTAAACCCCTAAACCCTAAACCCTAAACCCTAAATCCTAAACCCTAAACCCTAAACCCTAAACCCTAAACCCCTAAACCCCTAAACCCTAAACCCGGTGTTGCGACGTCCAGGCTCCAAGGCCGTCCGATGACTTCTCTGCGGCGCAGAGCCAAGAGCCGCCTCGTCCGGAAGTTGGTTATAGGGGCCTCAAATAATGACCTCTAGGGTTCCTTTAAAGGTTCTATAAGGGGTCTCTAAGGGATCTATAGTAGGGTTCTACAATATATGGGCTTATATAAATGATTGACAATACTATTTCGGGCGGTGCTTCATTATAGTTGGAGTATAATGTGGGTATGTTGCGGGGTTCTTTAAGGGTTCGATGAAATGGGATCTGTGGGGGTTTCGGGCTTAGGGTTTAGGCTCCAGGGACTTCGGTTTGTAGGGTTCGTGATGGGGTTTAGAAAGGACGGCTCGGAGCCACGGTCCAGGGTTGAGGGTTCAGGGTTTAGGGAGGCCTTTCAGGCTTCCATCAAAGGATGTAATGCTGACGAGGGGCGTAAGTATACGTTTCTAGAAGAGGTGGACAAGCGTTCTGTAGGGGTTCTACAGGGGTTGTACAGGGGTTCACAAGTGCTCAGAGAGTAGGTTTTCGAGCTTGGGGTTCATTTGGAGTTGTATGGGGCTTGTGGGATAACCCTAAGCTCTAGTTTTTGAGTTTACGGTTGAAGAATATTGAAGACATGGCCATGAGGTTTTCAGGGTGTGATGTATGTTTGGGTCCATGGCCCTGCGTTTCAGATTCTGGGCTGATTTGGCTTCGGTATCTAAGGCGGAGGTACAGAGTCTCAATCGTTCAGGAGGGCTTAGACTAAGGAATAGAGCTTGTGGTTATAGCCCTCAAATAATAACCTTTAGGGTTCCTTTAAAGGGTTCTATAAGGGGTCTCTAAGGGATCTGTGGTAGGGTTCTACAATATATGGGCTTATATAAATGATTGACAAGTTGAGTGTGTAGATTCATGCTGTGGGGCGGGGTCCAGTACAACTTAGGGTTTCGGCTTACTGTGTAGGACAAACCTAATCGTGGACCTTCTGGAATTCCAAGAGCCCGCGTTTACTGAACTGTAGACTGTAGGCTGTCTGGGCAAACGGTAGCACAAGAAGCAGTCTATCACGCTCTTTCGAGATTTCGAGTTGAGACGCCTGAAACTTCTAAACACTAAGCCCTAAAACCTCGGTTTCTTCCAACGGGAAGCATTACTGCAGCACCACTTTAGTGCTAGATTTCGTAATCTATTTCGGTTGTCGTTTTCAATTCTTTCTACATTTAGGCCCACTACTCGACGAACACAGTTCAGTCTTGTGTAACCGGCATAAATCAACCTTGTACTCCTCGTGCCGGCACAAGAACAAGTCAAAACTACAACACTAATGCATCCGGGATAAGGAGCCTTACAAGGTTTAAACACTATTCCGCACGTAAATCTCATCAATATCTTTCGTTGTTAAGCCAAAGCATAAAACCCATCGAATGCTTTTCCCGACTAGACCCCAATCTTGTCTGGCGTCTCTGTAGGGTTCACAAGACCCTGCATGAAACAACATATTACAGTAGGTTACTTCCAGGCATGAAAGAACACATTAAGCCTGAAACCCTGAATCCTAAACCCTAAACCCTGAATCCCCCCTGAAGTTAGGGCGAAGTGAAGATACCCCCAATCCTGAACCCGAGGCCCTCATTGCTGTTGGAGCGCTGCCAGCGGCTGGAACAGCTTGTCCGGGAGCTGAAGCAGGACCACATAAAGGTGCATAAAGAGGTATACATGGTTTGGGTCTATAGATCGTCGATTGCAACAGCATCATGTCCCTGTTGCAATTCCCTTCGCAAGTTGGGGCTCTTGGTCCTCGCTGGATGGTTCCCATGTGTCGGCTATGTGATCCGTAGTCTCCTTAAGGTGGTGATGCCTTCGATGCGTCTTATGCATGTCATGAGACATTGCACCAGCATGCCTTCATGAGGACAAGTACACAAGCAGTTAAATTAATGACATGAGTAAGCAACTAAGCATAAATCAAGAAGTGCCTGTATATATATATATATACATATATATATATATATATATATATATATATATATATATGCATAATCTTATGTACATGTGCGTTGTCTGTTCGTCTGTCTGTCTGTCCGTCCGTCTGTCTATGCACGTCTGTTTGTGCACATCTACGTATGTGAATGTGTGTATGGACGTATGTATGCAGGCATGCATGTACGCAGCCAAGTAGGTATCTTGACCTAGCAGCCGCCTGAATAAGTACCAGTAGACACGAATCAATAGTGTTCCTGAGGGTGCCGATAAGGGTCAGCAGGACAGACCAGTGTACCAAGCTAACGTGGCACTGGCTTTCAAAGTCCACGACCCCGCCTCCCTCTAATAGCCCTACCTTCCCTTACACGTAGCTACAGACTCACAGACTAGCTGTAGAGGGCCGCTTTTGGAACCGTTTAGAAAGGCTGCCAACGTTTTCCTCTTAGCTAGTGCCATCAACCCTAAACCCAAAACCCTAAACCCTAAACCCCTAAGCCGTTTTACTCACAGACTTGAGAGACGTGCTTGGAGTCGTACTGCTCGCGAGTTGCATGGGACCGCCCCAACCGGGTTCCTCAGTTTAAATATACTGCAATGTAACCCAAACTTCATTCTAGTTATGAAGGTACCTATATTCGGTAGCTAGACAGGCTGCAACTCGATTCCCTGAATGCAGAATGCCAGAGTCTTTATTCCCCGATCCTTTAGTGTCCTTATGGGTTTTGTTACAGTAAACCCCAAGGACATATTCAACACGATGTTTTTATTATGGTTGCAAGGGCGCATCGTGATTCCCAAAGCCTTGAACTCTGAGCCACAAGACCCCATGAACCCTGAGCCCGAAACCAAAACAAAGCATAGACCCTAATGCGGCTAAGCCCAGAAACGCGATCATGCCAAGCACCCCAGGCCTTGTGCTAGCCCTTATAGTAGCCCTTATAGTGGCTCCGTGAGAAGCCTTCCAGACTCTAACTAGACTTCCTATACTTGTGTGGCAAAGCTCTTATCTTCCATCCCTGTTGAATTACAAGACCTGATGAACATTCTGAAAACAACCCTACTTGGAGGATCATGGGACTTAGTAACTAGGGTTATAATTAAGGTACCTATACTTATGATTACTTATGACCCTAATTCAGGTACTTATCACCATACTTACTAAGTCCCATGATCCCCCCATTATAGACCCCTTATCCCTTGAAGGAACCCTTTTATAGAACCCTATAGTACCCGAAAAAAGGAACCCTAAACCCTACTTACTAAGTCCCATGATCCTCCAAGTAATATTCGTCCAGATCAGGAAAACCAGAATCTCCGTGAGCAGACGAAGGCACATGCAGCTGCACCGGTGGAGGAGGGGGTTTTGAGGGTTGTAGGGTTGCAGGGGTTGAAGGGTTTAGGGCTTTTGGATTTTAGGGTTTAGGGTAAGGGGTCGAAGGCCACATAGCGGGTCCTGTGGGGGTTCAAACGGGTTTCGATAGGGGTCTCAGGGTTTGGGCAGGAGCTTAGGGTCTCGGGTTGAAGGTTCAGGGAGTTCAGGGTTGCCTGACCTTGAACACACCCACAAGTACTGCCATGTCGTTTTGTTTTGGCCTTCCGATTTCAATTTGCCGGGAATGGGTATCCACGGAAGTGCCCTTTCAAGGCTGCTACAAAAGCCTTCCTGAATTGAGTCCTGGTCCCCAGAAACATCGAAACATTTGGCTTTAAACTGAAATCAAAAATGTCCCTGAACCCTAACTCGATCGTTCTGGGTCTTTTGGTTCTGGTGTTTCCTGTATGATGATGACTATCTCTTTGTGTTGCCCGCCAGCGGTCACTGTCCGTGCTAGCAGTGGCATGGCCGCAGTTGTTTTTGTTGTGCTGACGGTTGCCGCAGTATGCCCTCCAAAACCCAGAAGCCCTAGTCTGCAGATCCATGAAGCCCTAAAGCCCGAAAGCCAGGAAGCCCAAAAACTCTTGTGAGCCCTCAGGAGCCATAGCAAGAACCTCATAAAGCGCTGATAAACCCTTGCTAAGCCTTACTGCCCTTATACAACCCATATACAGCCCTTGCAAAGCCCTTACACGACCCTTGTAACACCCTTCTTCTTCCCTGTATCTCGGCCTCAATGACTGGAAGGACCGCGGGCCTGAACAGTCTGCTGCTTCCGCAGTGACGGCGGCCGACAAAGCCGCAGGCGACATGCGGAGGGCTGTTTAAGGTTGTGTTTAAGGCGCCATAAGGGTTTCTACAAGGATACTGTCAGGGGACTGTAAGACTTTAGGCATCTAGGGTCGTTTGGTTTAAAGGCTTTGAGGTGTTAGGCTTTTCGGACTTCGGGCCATAGGATGTTAGCGTCTTGGGGTTCAGGGCTTTAGGGTCTAGGGCTTAGGGCTAGGTTCCTGAGTAATACCCTGTTGCCTTTTCTTTTGGCTTCCCTTATTAAAACTGAATGTTTGAAAAAAAGGGTACTCGTATTATTGAGGGGTTACCCAGGAACTTAGCTAAACCCTAAACCCCATGAACCCCAAACCCTCAAGTCTTGAACTCAAAAGACAGCCAGGTCACGACTTTATTGGCTCAATGCCCAGCACCACACCCACTCGGAAGCCGCTTGGCCCGCGTCGATAACTGTTCAAGAGACCCACAGCCTAAATGCTGAACCTGCTATCCTCACCATCTTTGGCCCAATCTTCAGAGTAACCGAAACCCGGTACTCTAAACATCCAACTGCAGAGGTTTTCGCCCTAAAACCCGAAAGAGCTTAAACATCCGTAGACCCTGAACCTCGCGTGTAGGTCTCAGTCACGGAATCCGGGGGATCAGGTTAAGGTTGAACAGTTGGTCAGCGCATGCCCCTTCAGTGCGGGATGCCGGAGGCTTTCCTGACGTTCAGGGTTTGATATGAAATATAACATAATGCAGACTAAAGATTAATAGATTATATAATGCATGCTAGGTGGTTGATAATCATGCGAGGACTTTTGCAGGCTACGTGCAGGAGAAGGCGCGGCCTGGCAGGGATGTCGGATACAAGGGTTGAAACAAGTGGAAAATTCCGTTACCGGAACTTGATTAGCAAACCCCTCTGTATCCTAAAGCCCTAAAGGCCTACAACCTTAACCCTAAGCCCTAATTAGGGTTTTGCGGGGTGTAGGGTTTTGGGTTCAGGGGCTACTGTTGACGCCCAACATCCGGCATGACCCGCGACATCCTACATACTCCACATCGCGCTACCCACTTCCCCGCAGCCCATTAATTTCACATCCCCATGAGGTAATGCAGGATTTAGGGCATTCGTGTAAGCCCTTTTTCTAGCCCCTCCGTCGGAAAAATATTCAAATTCGGGGTAGCGGGGGAGCAATGTATCCTCGATCCCGGTAGACCTGACCCGAAGCCCTTGGTCCTACGGCTCTGCGTCGGGCGATCGCCCTGTGAGGATGAACCTGGTGCTGCACGTGAACCGAGCTGGCACCCGAGAGTCTTAGGTGGGTGGTTGTCAATAGTAAGGTCCCTTTTGGGATCCTTACGATAATACGGCACTTAATATTTAGGGTGCCCGAACAGGGACATTGGTCTTGACAACCACCCAGGTCTTAGGCTTTTAGTCTTTTGTGTTTTAGGCTTCTAGGGTTTCAGGGTTTGGGACGTTTGGGTTTATGAGTACGAACGTAGTGACGTGTTTTAACTGCAGACTGTAAGGCTGTAAGTGCTTGGTTCAATTGGCTTGATTGGCCGTAAGGTTCTTGTAGTTGCAATGATCTCACTGACAGAAGAGCAGTCAGGGCAATAGGAGGAACGGAAAGAGAGTCAGACGAGCTCAGCCGGCCCTAGAGAGAGGGAGTCATTCGAATGCGAAGAACAGTAGGAACGAGCAATAGGAGCAATGACAGCAATGTCATGAATACTATTAGTACCGTTTCCCTGCATGACCAGAACGTAGTGATGACGGAGAAGAGAGAAGAGCAGAAGCAATGCATAGCGGAGTATGAGTAAGAGCACAGCCGTGCTCGGCACCATGGTTGTGTTACGACATGGGTGGTTGTCAAAATTATGGTCCCTTTTTGGCTACCCTACAGATTAGGTGCCGTATTATGACAAGGACCCAAAAGGGACCCTAATATTGACAACCACGCACATAGAGGTAGATGGAACTCGACGAGTGCTCAAAAGCTCAGGCTCGGGGCTGTGGGCCAAAGCCAGGCAAGGGCAACCGTTGTGGAGGGGTTTAGGGTCTAGGGTGGGCTCAGGATGTGTTATTGGAGCACTTCGGAGTTCTTGCTTGATTTTGAAGGTTTATGTAAATTTAATGGTAAGGGCTGTTACGATTCAAGGTGAGAGGTGATGGGCTTGCTTTGATGCTTGAAGCCGAGAGCTCTTCGACCTCAATGGGTCGTCGCGGCTCATTTGTGCTCCGGAACCTCTTTAAGCACCCCAAAGTCAAAATCTAGACCCCCCACCCTGAGCCCATGGTTACCGTCGGAGTTTTGGCTTCCGCTGGTGCATAATTTGAAGCGAGAGTACTGGGACATAAAGATATGTCCAATGTAGCTGCAGCGATAGAAGACGCTGCAACGACTAATTACCCTGGACCCTGTGCCGCCTGCAAAGCCATAGGGACTAAGAGCGCGGCTCTTCAGGAATGTCGTTTCTGCTTCTGCTGCCCTCGAAGACAGCCTAGAGGCATGCAGCTCTTCACGGGTTGAGAATGGTTCAGCTTGGGAGTTTCCCCCAAGCCCCGAAACCCTGAACCCCAAAACCCTGAACCCGAGTCAGGGGCGAGACTCTTGGCTTTCGCCGTTTCGTGGGGTCTAAGACATGTGTGCACAGTGTGTCGCTCACGCATCGGACCTTAAGATTAGGGTTTAGGTTCTAGGGATTAGGGACTATTGCTTGGTTAGTGATGCTGTCAGTCGCATTCTTGCTACTCACCGTTTTCGTTGTCACGTATCTCTCAGTGTGAAGATCTTATATTACCACTTGGCTCTGGTTGGAGCGGCGTATTTTACAAGCAGGAGAAATTGGGGTAGTAATCCTCCACGTGCGATCCATCCTGGCATCATAGACGTGAAAGGATGTGTATATGCTGCATAATATATAACAGAAGGTGTGCATATGCATATATATATATAGAGCATACAATGTGCAATGTATCCGCTATACTATGCAACACAAAGTACATAGAAAACGATAACATCTAACACATAATGTTTACTATAGAGTATGGATGCCAAGCAATATGTAAGGTGTGACTTATATGGCAAAAAGCATATCGTTTAATGGCTGTTGTTTATTGTTTAGCATATAACACATACTACATACCTACATATATATGGTAAGGTCCTTTATGTCATATATTTTATCCAATAATATCAAAGTTCGTAACATCATATGCATATTTACAGTGTATATGTATACATACATATATGTATATATACATATATACAGATACATCGTCTGTTTACGATAAGTAATATACTATATCCAATACCGACTATCTTACAAATAGTGTATATTATGTAATATACGGTTATTACACACTCTGATTATGTAATGTATGATATACACATATATAACGGGTAAACAGATAATGTGCAATATACCAGTGTTTACTATATTATATATACCTGCACCTGAAACTCAGACTCGCCGACAGCTCCGCAGAGATCTGCGTATGGAACGCGCCGCGCTATGAGGGTTTCGATTTCTGGAAGACCCACTTGTCGCAGGACAGGGGCCCGTGTGGGCGTCCTCATCGGAAATCCTGAAAGTCGCAAACTTGCTGCGGGACGCAATCGAAAGCCTCCTAAAAACTCGAGATAATCAGCTCCCAATGCTTTTTTGTTGCGGTACAGACCCGAAAGTGCACAAACCCTCCCTACTCCCCAAAAAGCATGAGCATGCTTCAGCTTCACTTCTCGAACCCTGGCAAAGCTGGATTTGTCCTGGGAGGAAAAGAGCTGGTTCTGTCCTTAAGTCTACTACTTCTACTACTATTGTGACTACTACGACTTCTACTACTACTACTACTGCTGCTACTACTACTACTACTACTACTACTTCTTCTACTACTACTACTACTACCACAACAACTACTACTACTACTACTACTACTACTACTACTACTACTACTACTACTACTACTACTACTACTACTACTACTACTACTACTATTTTTTCAATTGAACGCTGTGCGAGCGGGCTCTGCACATAGCGGGCGATTGCCGCGGTGCACTCACTTTGGTGTGAAACTGACTCAGACCCTTGAGACTGATTAGCCCAGGTCAAAAAGAGGGACCTTTGTGAGAGGTCACGCGGCCTACTTGGCTTCCAGCTGACTGGCAGAGGGCAGCTAGAGTTTTTCGCAGGCAGCAAGCTGTCAAGCTCCATTCCGTGAAGGTGTACCTTCAGGCTGTCAAGAACAGATTTGCATGAGGCATGCTTGCTTGGAGAGGTGCAGCGTGCAGACTAAGGCGGACTCTGACCTGTTTTTGCAACTGACAGCGACGGCTGCATGCAGAAAAGCCATCAGTGTCTCGAGGAAGAAGCTCGTGTCAGGTCAGACGAAAACAGGCATTGCCTCCGCTGCTTTGTATGCACATTGCCATTGGCACCCTCCGTCGAGGCTTAGACTCATTGATGCCAGGAGCGACTGCCACTAGCACCAGAGTCGGAGCCGCGGTTCCACCAACCACCCCTCGACCAGGCATCGCCGTCTCGGTGGCGCTTGTCAGCACGAGACTGTGTCTCTTCACCCGAGCGCTTGTCTCGCTGTTCTCGCTGACGATGCCATTGGTAAGTGGCAGTGTCGGCTGGTAGAAGATGGCACGATTTTGCCCACCGCTCTTTCTTGAAGTCTGGTCGTAGATGCACTTGAAGGTGGAGGCAACGATCTCGAAGTTCTCGTCCGTCTCGAGCACCGCGTTCATGTCGACGTGGTCCCACATTTTCTGGCAGAGGGCGTGCGCGATGCCATAGTACGCCGTGGTGGACTTGAGCTCGGTGTAGCGGTTGTCCTGTCCGATGGAGAGGGTGAATTGGCCATTGGCCCCGACCATAAGCCGCGCCTGCGTGATGTCCAACCAGTTGGCATCCTTGTCGGTGGTGACTTTCAAGATCGGGGCGAAGGTCCATGGCACTCGCCCAAGCGCTCTGAAACGATTGGTCCATAGGAGAACCTGTTCCGAGGCAGTGAGGCCGCCCACAATGGCCTGCTCCTTCATAATGGAGATAGCCGCAAAAGAGTGGACCCACTCCAACATTTGGTCCGATTGGCATATGTGCACTATCTGATCCCTTTTGGGCAATTGACTCGCTTCCTGCTCTGGAGAAGGATTGGTGCTGTACTCCACCAGCTTGGTCGTGGTGACCGGGCCTTGGTATTTGACCTCAGCGCGTGTGGAGGGGACGTCCACAAGGGGGGCTCCTGTAGTCGCGCCCGGGGCTGGAGTTTGCGGGATCTGCTCTGGCACCGAAGCTTTGGTCGCAGGGGCTGCTGTCGACTTTGTACTGCCAGCTGGGGGGTGAGCGGCCTGGGTAGCAGTTGAGCCCCAGAATGCATTGAAAGGTGCATCGCGGGTTTGGCTGGAGCCGGCGGACGGCGAGGGATGCGACGGCTGCCCCGAACGGGCCGGTGAGTCCTTGGTGCCCCTCGTGTCAACCTTCCAGCCCAGTGTGGAGTTGCCTGTGGCTGGTTGCTCCTCTGGCATGCTGGAACTACTACCACTACTACTACTACTACTACTGCTACTACTACTACTACTACTTCTACTTCTACTGCTACTGCGATCACTACCAGTTTAGTGGTGGTGGGCAATGGACCTGCAGAATCACAACAGAGAAAGGGCCACTACACTTAGAAAGAATAACGACAACCCCGTGAACATAATATAGGGGCCTTAATAATTACCAAATCATTACCAATACTATTTGGGGGTTCCTGATTATACTTATAGTATAATGGGCCCCAAAACCCTATTCTCATTGTTGAGGCCCTTACAGATCCCTTACAGACCCCTTTAAGGATCCCTTGAAAAGGAACCCTAGTAAGGCCCATGTATATGATGCCCAACAGGCCCCTCTATTTGTTTTGTACCTTACTATAGATCCCTTATCCTAGCCCTTATAGACCCCTAAACCCTAAACCCCAAACCCACAAAACCACCAAAACCCCTCAAAACCCTAAACCCAAAACCCTCAAAACCCTAAACCCTAAACCCTCTCCTACGCCCAGGTGCCCAAAGGAAACGTCTGGAGCGTGAGCTGGGCTCCCTCCGTGGCGAGCTGGCCAAGTGTGCGATGCCCGGCTCAGTTCGGGGTTTACTTAAAGGGTTTACTTGGAGGGGCAGGGGACTTCGTAAGTAGGCTAGAAGTAGGGTTATAATTGAGATAACTCCATTTACGGCAGTTACAACTCTGCTTATAACCTACTTACTAACTCCCCTGCCCTCCAAGTAGGGTTTAGGGTTCAGGGAACTTAGGGGTTCACTTAAACGGCCATGGGACTTAGCAACTCGGCTTTTACTAAAGACTAACGGGTTTACCTAAAGGGTCATGGGACTTAGTAACTAGGCTTATAATTAAGGCAGCTATACGTATAATTACTCATAACCCCTCTTTTGGGTTCGGGGTTCAGGGAGCTAAGGGGTTTAGGGTTTAGGGTTCCTTCAAAGGGATCTATAAAGGGGTTCGGGGTTCAGGGGGCTGAGGGGTTCAGGGTTTAGGGTTGAGGGTTTTAGGGTTTTAGGGTTTAGGGTTTTGGTGTTTAGAGTTTAGGGTTCCTTTAAAGGGATGTGTACGGGTTCTATAAAGGGGTTCAGGGTTCCTTTAAAGGGATCTGTAAGGGTGGTTCAGGGTTCAGGGTCTCAGGCCGTAGGGCTTAAGGTTGGGGTCAGAGTTTAGAGCTGATTTAGGGTTTCAAGCTAATTTGGAGGATCATGGAACTTAGTAAGTAGGGTTTAGGGTTCCTTTTCAGGCTACTATAGGGCTCTATAATAGGGTTCCTTAACGGGATTACGGGTCTATAAAGGGGGGATCATGAGACTTAGTAAGTATGGTTATAAGTGCCTCACTTGGGGTTATAAGTAGTCATAAGTATAGTTACCTCCATTATATCCCTATTTACTAAATCCCATGATCTTGTAAGTGGGGTTTAGGGCCTTGGGCTTTTGGGCTTCCCGACCAGGGCTGTCTTGGATCTTTTTTGGGTGAGCTCTGCAGTGAGAGGGTTTGTCGGGATGAGAACGTTAGGGTTTAGGGTTTAGGGGTTTATGGTTTAGAGGTTTAGGGTTTAGGGGTTTAGGGGTTTAGGGTTTAGGGTTTCACGGTTTAGGGTTTCGTAACACCGAGGCATAATGTAGGAGCCTGATTAAGAAACCCTGGGTCGATGACCCCAAACAATAGGATTTATAAAAGGAGCCCTAATAAAGGCCCAAGGTTTCTTAACCAGGTTCCTACATTACTCCCAAGCAGCCAGGCCAGAAGACACATCTGCAGCGTGCAGCCGCATTTCATGGCCCTGGTCTTTCCCACCCCATTTGCGGATCTGAATGCAGTTACAGTACAATATCCACCAAAGCCCCGACTATTCTAAGTATTGAGGCCAGTCTAGCATAATACTACAACTAAACCCTTAACCCTAACACCTAAACCCTAAACCCAAAACCCTAAACCTTAAACCCTAAGCCTATAGCCGTCTAAGGCGAGAGCATCGTCGAGCAGCTCATGGAAGAGATCGAGGATCGAGGCAGAGGACATCATTTCGAGGCATTTCCTTCTTACCTTTGGTTAGTAGGGAATGGAGGAATGGGCTACAACTATAACTACTATTACTGCAATTCTTCCATTCCCTACTAACCAAAGATAAGCCTTTGGGTGCTTCGGGGCTCTTAAGGTTTAGCGGCTTAGGGTTTAGGAAGGCTGCAAAGGCCAAGTTACACAGCCTTGGATCTCTGGGCTTCAGGGTTTAGGATTTAGGGTTTAGGGTTTAGGTTTTAGGGTCAGCGTATATTAGGGTTCTAGGGTTTGAGGTTTAGGCGTTTAGGGTCTAGGGCTTCAGCACATATTGTCTCACGGGTTCTGGCGGTTTCAAGCTGACAGCTAAGGTGTCCAGCGTGAGGGTGTTGGGTTGAAGCTTTTTGAGCCCAGCGAGCTACTGAGGCCCTTGCTCACATCTTGTAAGACTAGGGCCTAGGGTTTATGAAAAGGATTGCGGCTTAGGGTTTACGAAAAGCTTCAGAACCCTTCAAGCCAGGGTAAATCAAGCTCCGATTCTCCAAAGCCTTGAAGCAGTTCCTTAACCCCGAAACGCTAAACCACGAAACCCTCAACCCCAAACCCGGAAAAACCCAGACCGCACGGGTCACATAGATAAAGCACTGCATCACCTTTATATAACCCTTCAGGGTAAACGGCTTGTAGTATGCAGCATAACAGGGACTATAAGGGGAGATTCCTTGGAGGTTCATGGGTAGTTATAAGCGGAGTTATCAGTCCGCTAATATGCGTTCTACACATGGTTACCCTACTTATAACCCCGCTTATAACTGCCCATGAACCTCCAAGTATGACGGGAGATTACTGCTACTATTCAGAGTTAGAGGTGTGCGAGGCAACAGGCGGTTTGAAGTGCTTCGTAGATCTCCACAGAGGGTCGGGGCTTTACGGTTTTTGGATCATGATACCTGAAACGAGGGGTTCTTCCGGGGGAGTCTTTCAGGGTTTTGCTCGCAAGGTTTGGGCATGATGTAGAGGTTTCAATACCTTGTAAACCTATCTGCGTATGGTCCTTATACAGCCCAAAATCCTGTTCCGACTTTTCCGGCCCTTCTACTGGGCCGTTGCAGGGCCTAGATGGAACTCGGGGAGGGCTCCAGGGAAGCCCCTAAACCTTTCAACCCGAAACGCCCAGCCCCAATCCCCAAGCCCTCCCCCCGGCTCTAAAACGATCTCTGGTTGAGAGAGTTATGAAGAGAGGTTTCCATGAGGGCTCTATACGGGTGTCAAGGTTTTGGTTCAGGGGCTTGCCAGTCTGAGAGTCTTTCTTCAGGGGAGGGGTGTGGGGATGAGCATCGGAGCCTGAACCTTCCGCTCCTAGACGCGCGACCTTATTCCATGTCGAGTGAAGGCTCATTTTCAGAGAAAGTGTATGCATCCCGGTCCTCCTGCCATGCGTAGTGGAGATGCAAGGGCAGCAGTTGTGGACAAACATTGCTTTGATTGTCGAGGTCCTTTTTCTAATGAAGGCTGCTTTTCTGGGCATCTATTACTGGCGGTACTTGCTGGCAGTGGCTTCAAGAACCATCTACGGCATATGGACAGCTTTACGTGGAGTCCGCGGTTTTAAGGAGAACCCTGTCTTCTTGGACAGGATGGAGCGCCTCCGACTGAAGCTCTCTCACGCTTACATGTACGCGGTCTTGTGTGCGATGCTGCCCGCTATAGTCTCTGCGCAGCGCAACCTCGCGACGGGAAACGCACAAATTGCTTCCGGCGCTTTGCGCTGGGAGATGCTTTTTTTCCTTTCGGTTGCCATTCTGCACTTCCTCTTCCCGAAGGCCTGCCGTTGTCTGCCTCATGTTGCTCAGCCTGAGATGGTTCTTTGTAGGGAATGGGGGAATGGATCATGGAGACTATTATTGGAGATTATATAGGGACTACTATAGGGATCCATGTCCTCATTCCCTACTAAGCACCAGGCGGTAGTTCCTAGTTGGAGGATCATGGGACTTAGTAAGTATGGGTATAAGTACCTCAAGAGGGCTATAAGGAATTATAAGTATAGCTAGCTTCATTATGAAGGTAGTACGTCCCATGATCCTTTAAGTAGCAGTTGGAGTTTAGGGTTTGGGGTTTCCGGGATGCAGGCGCTGCAGGTCTCATCTGCTGACTCGCTGTACCTCTTGCTGATGGCCTCGTGCGCCTTCGCTGATCTTCGAGATTGAGGTTCAGGTGCAGTCACACGGGGACCCTTAGGGGGGGAGTGGGAGGGGGTTAGGGGACTATACTTCCTGAATAGATCTTGTTAAATCCTTATTATGGGCATTAAATGCCCCCTACCCCCCCTCCCCCCCCTACCCCCTGTAAGGGTCCCGAGGATACAGGGTTTAGGGCTTGTCTGAGGCCATGGTCTGGGCCTCCGGTGCTAGGGCTGCAGGGACTCGGGGGCTCAAAATCCGAAAGGTTCCGAGAGCCCATGCCACCGAGGCATCGTCGTCGTGTCCCCGCTCCTGGAAACCAGCTATAGCTCGACCACCACTGTGCTGGTGGCCTGGAAGCTACGGTAGTGTGGGGGTCGTTATAATTAGCAACACAGTTCTTCCGTCTTATGATTACAGCATCATTCAGGCTTGTTGCCTAGCAGGATTCTTACACCATGGCTAGTGGGAGTCATCACACTTCGGGATCCCTTCTGTTGACGCCCTGAATCCTGCATGACTTTGAACCTCCCCAGGGTTCCCCTGCTACCGCCGCGGTTTAATATTGCTCTGCGGCGCGGGCCAGAAAAAGGGCCGGTGCGAATGCCCTAAATCCTGCATGAACCCTTGGGATGGGCGATGCAACATGGAAATTAAGGGGTTGCGGGGAAGTGGATAGCACGATATTGAATATGTAGGATGTTGTAGGTCAAGCAGGATCCTGGGCATCAACAGTATCATCAGAAATTCGGAGGAAGATTTTCCTCCCACGTGCAAGTTGAGGAGCTGTCACTGGAGCAGGGTAAGGAGTTCAGCTTACAGAAGATTCGGATATGCTACCCCGAAGCCGTATGAGAATGTTGAGTGTTAAAGCACGACGTTGAGTGTTGAGCGAGTGATGCCACAAAAACCAGTTGGGGTTCATGATGCCACAAACTGCCAAGCTGGGACCCCGGTTCCGGCAACCGAGCTCTGATGAACAACTAGTAACATGTCCCCTTCCAGTCCCTCTCTGGTTTACGATGGTCTCCCCTTACAAGCCCTATTGAGGTATACCATAGCCCCTTAACCCCTAAACCCTGAACCCTAAACCCTAAACCCTAAACCGTAAACCCTAACCCTCCTGCACCGGGAAAACCTTCCAAAGCTGTCTTCACTGCAGGTGTCCACTCCCTGAGCCCCTAAAATGCCCGCTCCCTGGGCTCCAAATCATAGGGATCCTTAGGGGTGTAGGGGGGAGGGGTGTAGGGGACTATATTTCCTTAAATAGGCCTTATTAGTCCTTATTATGGGCCTTAAGGCCCCCTACCCCCCCTCCCCCTATGACAAGCCTGCTTGGAGGATTGGGACTTAGTAAGTAGGGTTTAGGGTTCCTTTTTAGGGTACTATAGGGTTCTATAATAGGGTTCCTTAAAGGGATAAAGGGGTCTATAATGGGGGGATCATAGGACTTAGTAAGTATGGTTATAAGTACCTTAATCGGGGTTATAAGTAATCATAAGTCTAGTTACCCGTAATTATAACCCTAGTGACTAAGTCCCATGATCTTCTAAGTAAATCCGGGCCCTTACCTACCCTAAAAAAACACCCAAGCTGTATCGAGAGTGAGGTATCCTTCGTCTGCCGCATACCTTCCGTCATCCTCACAAGGCTTGGCGTTTTGGGTTTAGGCTTTAGAGTTCAGGGTTTAAGGTTTAGAGTTTGGGGTTCATCAGCTCCGGATCGAACACTTTTACAGAAAGGGTGCTATTTACGGCCCCACCCACCCAGAGTATCCCATAACATGAAGAATATACATGTGCCAAATAGTTCGTTCAACAGTTTCTACTCAATATGACCCCTCTAGTCTAGTTCGGATTACCATTTTAGCATTCGGATTTCCCAAGCCCTAAACGAAACCGCAAACTATTGTTTTAGGGTTCGGGCGACTGTTTTTTTGGTTCGAACTTATATTCTAGAGTTCGAACTGTTATTTTCGGGTTCGGACTATTATCTTAGAGTTAGGACTAGTATTTTTTCTGTTCGGGCTACTATTTTAAGATTCGGACTACTATTTTAGGGTTCGGATTATTTTTTAGGGTCCGGGCTACTACTTATTCTAAGGTTCGGGCTATTTTTTTAGGATTCGGACTACTATGGTAGGATCCAGACTACTATTTAGGATTCAACAACTATTTTAGGGTTCTGGCAGTATTTTGGGGTGCGAACCATTATTTTAAGGTTCAGACTACTATTTTAGTACTCGGACAATTATTTCAAGGATCGGACTACTATTTTCGGCTTCGGGCTGCTCTTTTAGGGATCGGACTCTGATTCTAAGGTTCGGACTATTATTTTAGGGTTCGGACTACTATTTTGGGATTTGGACTACTATTTTCGGATTCGAGCTATTATTTTAGAGTTCGGACTATTATTTTAGGGTTCGGACTATTGTTTTAGGGTCCGTACAATTGTTCAAGGTTCGGACTAATTTTTTAGTATTCGGACTATTATTCTAGGATTCGGACTACTGTTTTAGGGTTCGAAGTTGGACCCAGCCTAGCCTTGAACCACCAACGAGTTGGCCTTGAGCCACGAAGGATTGGCCTCGAGCCACGATGTCATTAGAGTTTAAGTTCTTATGTGAAAGAGAGGTTTAGGGTTTACGGTTTGCACTAAATGGCGTGTAGGGGTTTGAGGGTATGTAGAAGTACGTAGAGGGGTTTACGGCTTAGGGTTTGCGCGGTTGAAGTTTGAGGTATTTAGAGTTTAATGAGGGTTGGAGGGGTTTGGAATGTAGAGGGTTTGTCGGGAGTTTTGCAGTTTGCGGGTTTCGGGGTTAGGGCTTCAGGGTTCA